ACTTTATTCTCGAACATGTAGCGGATTGCTACCTTCGTAAAGCCTTGGTTAAAGACTTGTAGCGGATTGCTACCTTAGTAAAGCCAGACCGGTTGAGAATTGTAACGGATTGCTACCTTAGTAAAGCCTGACCGGATTGCATTGTAGCGGATTGCTACGCTAGTAAAGCCTGACCGAAATCTCTATGGCAGATTCTCCAACACCTAGCTAGACTCCCAGAACAGCTAAGCTATAGCTCCACGGATTGCTACGCTAGTAAAGCCTGACTGACTCAGAAATATTGCTACTCTAGTAAAGCCTGACTAACTCAGAAATCTCTGGCTACGCTAGTAAAGCCTGACTGACTCAGAAATCTCAATGGGAGATCCTCCTACATCTAGCTAGACTCCCAGAACCAGCTAAACACCTTAGTAAAGCCTGACTGACTCAGAAATCTCGATGGCAAGATTTCCAACATCTAGCTAGACTCCCAGAACAAGCTAAGCTATAGCCTAGCTATAAGGGAAACTCATCTAGCTAGACTCCCAGAACCAACTAAGCTATAGCCCACATCTAGCTAGACTCCCAGAACCAGCTAAGCTATACCCCAGCTACAGCTAGACTCCCAGAACCAGCTAAGCTATAAAAAGGAAACAGACGTGTAGCACGGAGCACGCTAAAGGAAACAGACGTGCAGCACGGAGCACGTTTATTCAGAAGGAAACAGACGTGTAGCACGGAGCACGTTTATTCAGTACTTATATCGCGGGTAAAGTGTTTACAGGAAGGAAACCAGTCATACAACATGGCGGATTTAGTAAAACAAGCGAGGGCCCTTGAGCCGCTATTGGCTGCGTGCTCTTGTCCTCAATCCGTGCGCGAAGTTGTACGGCCGCACCTCAAGCCTATGTGTACACGGATGCGATGACGTGTCCCACAAGTCAATACTGCAAATAAAATTTACTTTGCAATATATACACAAACCAAATAGCAATAAGGTGGTTGTTATTATTATTATTACTAATTAAATATCTTACAATATCGATTTTAATCTCACAAAGCCAGCTAACACGTATAAGGAATTCAAGTGAGATCGAATAAGAATTCATAAAGAAAATGTGCATACGTTGCTGTCTTCTTCCTAAGAAAAAGTTTAATTTGAAGTGCATAACACAAGATCAGTAGCTCCATTTTAATGACTCAATTCATGAATTCATAGATAGGTTAGTGCCTAGAATAGCAGGAGTTTGTTAGCAAATCTATTCACAAAGATTTCGTTCTATTTTAACCCATTTCTTTCATTTTTTAAGGAAATTTAAAAGATAAGCGAGTACAATAGCTTGAACAATTCATATTTTACTTCTAATAAAAATGAAAACAACTACTAAAACAAAATTCTTAGCCTTCAAAGAGCTTACATTGTTAGAAATCTTAAGTTCGTGTAATGACAAGCGACGCTATGGAACTACTGACCACCACACGAGAGCCACCGCAGGAAACTCCCCACACCTGAACACTCGCCACCGATGTCATCAACACTAATGTGCCCCATTCGAATGTGTGGCACCAAATATGCTTTCTTCTAGTGCTTCCATCCGTGTTAAAATATCGATGTAATGGACTGTTCTCAGTTCACTCATCAGGATGGTAACGCGCAATTAACTTAGAAATATGAGATATTTCAAATCGATTGCTCACATAGACAACAAAAATGAGTCATAGTTACTGCGAATACCTACTTAACGTCTTCCTTGGACTCTCAAGGCGACAATAACGTTTAACAGATCTATTTATTTTCTAATACGTCACAATCTCTACCAGTCAACAAAATGGTGTCAATTGCCTGTAGTGACTCAAGATTTGTACAGTGTTGCAGTGAATGTTAATTATGCATTTTATGGTGCAATTGATAGCATAACGGACATGGCGGGAGGTGAAATTTTCCACAAATGGATCCCAACATGAACCTTATTATGATTTCAAATCGTTGTAGTAGACTTTTAACTTACGCCTTTCTAAGAGTTCTGGAGTGAAGCTCTGATAACTTACTCGTTCCAAAGTTATGTTCAGCTTCACAAACAAAGTAAATTCTGGTGAGCTGGACTAGCCACAAGGGCTCAAAGGTCGTCCATGTTCAATTAACTTTCAAGCAGACGATTTGGAAGCACACCTTACAGATAGTCATCGTATAATCGATCGAGTAAATTTGCATCCATAATTCTTTCTATTACCTATGACTCATATATCTAAGCTATTTTTGCAAATTTAATTTTGTGTTAAAATTATTGTAAATGCTTATAGCAAAGTATGGTCAAACGATAGATATATCAAGAGACAAGGTTGCATTTTTCATGTTTCATTTTTACCATCTTGATGAAGAAACTCTTTTCCTGTAGCCAGGTGCATTGTATCAATGAGGGGTGAATTATTACCTCTAACAATAAGTCGACATTCTTAGTAGGCTTCTTCTCGGGTGGTTTGGAGATCACAACAGAGGCTCTTGTTAGTGATTTGAAGCAATGCGGCATTATTGATTAAACAAACATTTTTTAGTTGGAGGCTAGGTTTAGTAAATGCAGTAGAAGGAAACATGCTAAATCGTCACCATGTTTCTAATGATTTTGGACACTAAGATGTCAAATGAAATATGGTTTATTAATAAGAGAAGGAAACAGCACAAGCTAATGATCACAGATTGAAAAAATTTAACCTATTAGAACTGAATAATTTGATTATTTAGATTAAAATTTCGAATTTGTTTTCGAAGTAGAATTACAAGACTCTTTATCCATCAAGTCAGGCACAACAAATAACAAGTAGAGAGTTCTAAAATTGCTGGCCTAAATGACTATTTGTCATACGACTTCAAATAATTTGGTGAGAGTTGGAATATTGAACAAAAGATACTGATGATGTTGAATACTTCAACGGGAACAGCGGGAATAAATCTTTTGACTGTCTTGCCTTATCATTTTTCCTCACCTTTCCCAACTCTCATTTAATCCTCCATCTCATGCTTCATTTCACGATCTTCTTAGAGCCCTTACTCTAATGTTTTTCCATAATTAACAGTTTTTTCCTCACCAAAGCACTATTACTTGCATTAATAATAATACTACTAATAATAATAACCATCTTTCGTGAATCCGATGCACATATCAGTTATTTAATTCACGAAAACACCATATAGTTACACCGCAAGTGAGAAGTATATTGGGTTGATAAAACTAATTATTAACATGCTATTGTCGATAGTAAATGTCAATATTTCCGGTAATTTTTCGAAATCGGTTTTTACTGCAATCGATAAATCCACTCTCTAATTGTAATTTCTTAACACGGGTAGGTTGTAATCTAGGCGAACCGTATCTTTATAGTTTGAGGCTTATTTACTATGAGTAGTAAGAATTCAGCTACTCAAAATTAGGCTTTTTCCTATGAATGTTGAAAACCTCAACCACTTTGATATATTCGGAGCAGCCCACAAATGGGTAAGTAGATTCGGCGATTGCATGAAGAACAGACGTTCCACACGCATTTTCGTGGGTGTCAACATCGATGCTAATTGGGGATATTATCTACTTGGGAGGGGCTTCCGGAGTCCACAGTAGCATTTCCTGGTGGTAAGATGGAGAGCAATGAACTCTATGTCAACTGCTTGATAGGGAAGTTGAAGATAGAGCTCTTATTTAACATGTTCTCCTTTATCAACGAGGACCCATGTGCCTCCATCCCACAGGTCTCAAGGGATGTCTGTGCCTACTTTGTGGAGGCTGCATCTGCCAAGTTAGCTTTCAAACCTAGCACGAGATTTGAAATATAGATGAATGTGTGAGTTGACTCACCATTCAAAGCAAACGTCTCATCGTCTCGAAGTCTAAAGGAGTCGGTAATAAAAAATAAGGCAAAGTGATTTGAGCAGTTCCCGAATGACACTAACACATACTATGTAGTCCAAATCGTATTCAATACAGGCAATGTGTCTGTGGAAGGTTGTCGAGGAAAAGAGCAGAGATCTTAATCGGAGAAGAAAGTAGATTAAGAAATTTCCAAACAATATGTTGATTCATCAGCTGGTGGTGCAACCCTAAAGCAGAATTTACAAAGGGAGTAAATTATCGCTTAGGTTTATTTTATTCCACCTGCAGAGTTACCGTTTTTAAAAAGGTTTCAATAGAGTAAAAGTAAACGCCTTCAAAATCGAATAAACTGAAGTGGTGTGAGGAGTGGTCTTCTTAACTAAGCGCATATTAATGTTCATTCAAATTACGTGAAAGTTATTCCACATACAAATCGTATTCGCTATGATCCCAAAACCCAGTAAATGCTTTTCTCACTAGTGGCCTATCCTGTAGCAAGGTTAACTAATTCTGAGACATTTGCTTGACAAGGGATCAAAAAGGACTAGCTCTCATTTGACATTTCCTACCATATCCGGCAGGTCCCATATGCATTCGTTCCAGACACCTTAATGGGTATGCCTACATTTTGCTTCCATTCAGAACGCCATACAAATAGCCAATGTGAATCGGAACCTGCGATAGACACCGACATTCCGAGTGGATCGTAAAAGCTGTCATGTCATTACATCATACTACTTGGACTGCCTCGCTATTCTCTCCTCAAATATACAAACGCGATTTCAAGGAGGATACGAATGCTGCCTACGAAGGACTCCGCAAAGCTTATAAGAAGAGCATAGCTCGCATTAAATAAACACAGCCCGAAATAAGTTGCGATGCTCTTTCAGCTACAATAGTTCTCCTCTTCAAGGGCCATTATCCGTCGGAAATGACTGAAGAGGAAATCTAAAGTTGAAAGCGCCAATGTCATTTCAAAATTTTATTGGATTATACCGAGTTCCTGGAAGACAAAGTGAAATCGATCGATTCGTTTGTGCATCCAATCGCGTAATTATTTTACTTCCTCCTTATAATTGAAGCTCTAACTCTATTGATAACCTAATTCTTGCCTTTATTTTAGTCAGTTCTCTTTCCTCATTCCATACTTTCTCTACTTACATGGAATGGTATTTGAGCCTTGACTGGGCTCATCAAAGTGTTTCTTCGTCGTCTTCCGGAGCCTATCTACTATCCTACATCGTGGACAGAACTAGCCAACACACTTCCCGAAGAAACAGAGGGAAGGAACAAATACTCCCTTTTCGCAACTCTAAGGAGTATTTGCTCGAAGCTAATCAAGGTAATGTTTATTACTTTGTTGTGCAAATAGTAGCTGTTTAGTATAAATTTTCAATGCGTACGCATAATACATGACCCACTCAATGTCATATTCGACCCCTACACAGTACTCATCTTACCCTTTCTGAGTCTTTCTGTCTCTTTTACATCTGTGAATCACTCTTGTATTCCCCCTCTCGAATTCTTCTCACTTTGATGTTCCTCCCCTCTGTGAAGACTGCTTTCTGCTTCTTTGATGAACCTTCCCTCTGTAAAGCCCGAACTATGCTACTTTGATGAACCTTCCCTCTGTGAAGCCCGTAGCTCTTTTTGTCACCTTGATGTTTCTCCTCCCCTCTGTGAAGACTGCAGTCAACTAAAGGGCTAATGATAACTATCAAAACGCCTGCCATTTGTTATAAATAAATAATAAATGGCTTCTTCCTACTTAAGTTATTTTTAATGATTGTCTATATTTCCCCCTTTCAACTCAACTGTTAGTGAAGTCTATAATTCTCCACTTCTACAGGACCGCACTACGTCAACGAAGAAATGGCAATGGAGCTTTGCTACTTTAGATTTCGTCTTCAGTCACTTCCGACAGATAGTAACCCTCAAAGAGGCAAACTATTGTAGATGCCAGAGCATAGGAACTTGTTTCGAGCCGTGTTTATTTAATGCGGATTCGTGAAGTGAGGCAAAATTCAATGTGGTAAATAAAACTGTTTCTTCTAGTGGCCGATCATTTGGTGATTCTAAATTTCTCTTTGCTTTTTCGTCACTGGAATTGATGCTGCAACACGGGCCCTGGTTGAAGACAGAAATAAATAAGGAATTTTATCATCTTCCAACACATTGGAGCTTACATAGGAGATTTCCTTAAAAATAGTCTAAATCTTAGCTAGGATTTCTAGGCATATTCTAGCTTGAAGTATGGCAAAAGGAATATTTGAGTGCATCTGACAAAATAAAGTTGGCCAATGATCTCGGCATTTCCTTTACAAGACTCTTTCAATGCCCCTTACACCCTCACCGCTATCATCCCCACCTCCACATCCCCTGACAATTGTACAGTTTTTGTATTTGAGATAAATAATTTTTTCTACGGCTTTTATCTTGAGCGTACACTATTTTATCGACCTCAGCGAGTTCTCCTGGATGTAATGGTAGGATGTCAGATTGGTGTTGAACATGGAGAAAAATGCGCTTACAGTATTTTCTATTCCTTATCCTAAACTCCCAAAATAGAGTAATATCGTGTTTATCAAGAAATATCACAATGTTTAGGCCAAACTATCTTTAAGATATTTTGTGGGAAAAATTAAGCCAATCGACTAGTAAAGCCAGTGTCTCTCTCTTCTGCTTATAAATTGTTCAGGATTATTGAGTGCCATAACTTTCTCTAATGGAAACGTTCTCTCTAAAATTGAAGAAATCGAATGCAAGTCCGGCGGGTTCAATACCACACTGATGATGTTTGAAACACGTGATGACTATTTCCAGGACTGTGTGCGCGTGTTTGCACTGACTGTCGACGACAGTGACTTTGAAAAAGGAAGTTCGAGCTCATTCCATTACATTGTTAAATCATTGAGCAGCTTTCTTTACCAATGTCTCAATGGTCAAGACCACTCTTCGTATGCTTCTGATCAATCAGCCATTACGAGATATCCCGAATCTCCGTGATGATGATTCTTTGTGTGGTTTGGACTATGCGTAGCACGTGTGGTCGCAATTATGAGGTTATAAAAACTTTATGTGAACACAATTTATGCCTCTAATCAGATGAATGCCAAAGAAAACGGAATGACGTAGTATGAACACTTTGATTTGCTTCAATTTCAATTCCCACTAGGAATCTTATCGAACGTGGAAAAATCCATATATTCTCCATAGTTCAGTGCTAGTTTTTTAAACCATTTGCTTTTTAAACAAAAGGTCACATAAAATGCACCTAGTCTACTTCTTTACATGTTGCAAAAGCGCATATCAATTTAATGCTCACAAAATTTTACCATAAGGAAAGTCGCAGGTGGAAAAATGGATAACAAAAATGTATAGAAACAATGAGGCCAAAAGTTAAAAATTGATTATTCTCATTTATGACCGACAGAGGACATAGAATAAATCTAAAATAAACTTGTTGCCCAGATGCGAAATAATGGAGCTTCTCTTGCTTGTATCGCCACTTTCCGAAATTTCCTCTTAGAATGGCCTAGTCCAGTGAACATGGTACCTTGACATCTCGAATTATCAGCTACACACACTTTTTACATTGGTAGGAGAGCCACATATTCAAAATCATAATATGACTGAGCGAATGATGTGCTAAGTTAGATTGAAGATGAAACAGACTCCTAGGTTTGAAAATTCAACAATAAAACTTACATTTCTATTTTCCTCCTTGTTGAATATAAATATCTTTATTTCAAAATATCAATTTAAATGTGCCTGGAAAGCTCTGTCAAATGATATTAATGAATTTGGAAGGAGGCGGAATGAAGGGGTAAAGAAATTTCAAAGTTTTAATGCCAATCCATTTGGAAATGATCTTTTCAATTCTCTGCAAATGACGCAAAAGCGAACGTTAGTTGTTTGCCGTTACTTGATTATATCAGAAGAGATGTCATCTGCATTCTCTGCGATCCACACTTTCATTTATTACAGCATGCTGTGCATTTTACACATTCATATTGATTCTTTGATACGCGTAAATAAACGACAATTACTCATTTTCTTTCAACTTTGATACAAAAATTCACCAATACACTTCAAAAAAGACCTTCTTTCCACCAAAAGCCACGACCAATAAATGCAAAGAAAAACGATCTGTACCAAATGGCTGTCTTATAGCTGTTAAGTCAACCAATGGGGATATATGTATTTGGCAAATGCTGGTAAGCATGTAATCCTGTCGATAGTAAATGTCTCAAGCCAAGAAGATCCGTTGAACAATAGAGGAAGGTATCAATTCTACTTTCCATTTTCTTGTCAGAATGTCTAATTTTATTTAATCTTTGCTCTCCCTCACCAATCGTGCTATTGGAAGCCAAATTCTCCCCATTAGTAGAGCGAATTTGCTGAGTTTTCACATCATATTTTGGAAGTATGTTGAAAATGTATTGTGATTGCACCTTTGAATGAGGGCTGATATGTGCTTGCCTGCATCTTGCAGAGTTCCATTTTCGCCTAATCCCTAGCTGCGCTATCCGGTTGGTTTGTTAGGATTCGTTTATTTTAATATCGCATCTAAATTACATTACGTATAATGAATATATACACCTATTTCGCGTTGTTTGAACTTGTAACTAGTAAATAAACGCAGAGATGATAAAGAGAGCAATCATGCATCAGACTCTTATATTCGGATCACAGTAAAGGGTTGGATTGAAGCTGTGAATTCATTTCCCAGTCTAACGGTTATTGATCCATTGATTTGTGTCCCTACACATATTCTTATGATGTAAATGTGAAAGGTGCTTTCACTTCTTCAAGTAAAAATAGCACAGCATTGTTTTCACTTTCATTCATTGCTCATAATGCCATAATAATAGTATATATATATATATATATATATATATATATATATATATATATATATATATATATATATATATATATATATATATATATATTTGTGCCACTTTTACTAATTTTGCTCATACATAGAAAGATTCGTTAATTCAAATATTTTTTGCTTAATTTGTAAGTTTTCAAATGCATATCTTACCGGAATTGTTTACGCAGTACCAAGATTAATTGAATAAATTACTGACTTTGACAATAAAGGAATAAAAAATAGGTGAAATTTTCGAATCAATATTATTCCGTATATTTGTTATCCAAAAGTGACTGAAGCACTTAGCAAATCACATGCCATCTGTGGTTAGTGTGCGCTCAAGGTTTACTCCCAAAGGAACGAGCTCAAACTCCCTTTTTCAAAGTCACTGTCGTCGACAGTCAGTGCAAACATGCGCACACAGTCCTGGAAATAGTCAACACGTGTTTAAAACACCAACAGTTTGGTATTGAATCCGCCGGACATGCATTCGATTACTTTTAATTTTAGAGAGAACGTTTTCATTACAGAAAGCTATTGCACTCAATAATCCTGAGCAATTCATAAGCAGAAGAGAGAGACACTGACTTTAGTAGTCGATTGGTATAATTGTTTTCATAAAATATCTAAAAGATAGGTTGGCCTAAACTTTGTATTATTTCTTGATAGACACAATATTACGCTATCTTGAGAGTTTAGGATAAGGAATAGAAAATATTGTAAGCACACTTTTTCCATTTTCAACACCAATCTGACATTCTAACATTTCACCTACGAGAACACGTTGAGGTCGGTAGAGTAGTTTAGTTTCAAGAAAAAGACGTAAAAAATTATTTGTTTCAAATTCAAAAACTGTACAATTGTCAGGGGATGTGGAGGTGGGAATAATAGCGAGGGGGGTTTGGGTTGGAGGGAAAGATTCTTGTTAAGGAAATGCAGAGTTATCGAAGAAACTAATTTTCCTATCGACATTTAAGCTAAATGTGATCGATCAAAAAGTTTATTTCTAGCATGCAGTCATCGTTTATATCGACACCCATATGTGCCAAAATAATTTTGATCTATGCCATCTTAAGTGTTAGTCTTTACCATTCCGAAATGAAAGCATGTGTATTGGAAAAGCTAGTTTGAAACAAAAGTCATTAAAACACAATTTCAGATAAGCCTAAATTATCACACACCCTTCGCTTGTATATAGCTTAACTGCTAAGTGTAACATTAGCATTATTTGCTTGAAACCAATAAGCCACCATTTTTCAATGACAACTCTAAAATGGTAACATTTAAAGGGATTATTTGTATTTTAAGTATTGATTTTGTAAATATTAAGAAAATAAATTAGCAAACTTAGATTAATTTGTTTGACATCGAGGGCAGAAAAGGACCAGTCATTAATTTCTTCACCATCAATGTCTCTATCATTATAATATTATTTCAGATCTTCAAATATGCTTTGAGAAAGATGAAAAAGATCAACTACTAATTGTGAGAAAATTAAAGCGAAAATCCATTCAGTGAAATGGTTTATACAACTTAAGAAACCGCAATAAGTAAAGTGGTAGAAGAAAAGCTTAACGTGGCTCAATATATTTTTGATTCACTTCTCCACTTAAAGTGTCTAATCTGCAGTTGGAAAGATTCTTGAAAACGTTTGAATATGACAATGCTCAAATTAGTGCATCTAGGAGTTTTTGCATTTCCATAAATTGTTCAAAGTTTATTTATTTCAAATGGCGGGCTTTATGACACTTATCATTAGCCCTTTAGCTGACTTCGGGCTTCACAGAGGGAAGGTTCATCAAAGTAGCAGAAAGTCGAGGGGTGGGGAAGAGAAGAGCGATTCACAGATGTAAAAGAGGCAGACAGACACAAAGGTAGAGAAAAGGTAAGGTGAGTAGAGTGGAAGGGGTCGAATATGACAACCGGGGGGGGGGGTCGTGGTAGTTTGAAGTCAGAAGTCAACTGCCGATCAATAGACTTTTTTGCCGTATGAGTATACGTTGCCCAGGGTGCACCACGTGGAGGTAAGTCTATCGCACACCCCTGTTCTAAGTGAAAACCCATAAAGTTTCTTTTGTATTAATTAGCAACAAATTTTGTGAACCAAATTGAGCTTAAGGTCACTAACTTAGAGCGAACGGGGAAGTAATCTGCCTTCACTGAAGACATGTCAACTGTCTGCCTTGGAAACGATTCTCAACATTTGACTGGAATTGCAATTTTCGGGCCGATCATTTATAAATGAAAACCCTTCTTATACACTCTAAAGAAATAAGTCTATTTATCTACCCATGAGCCTTTTGATTTCACGATTTGTGAGGCATAAAATTAGTTCCTAAACGAAAGTGGTATGTAAATATTTAAAGCATCACTTTGGTTGCCATCGTTGCATTTCTTTTTGTATGAGTGCCAACTTTAATGAGGAAACACTATTAATTCTTAATAATAAAATACCATATTCTTTGGCGATTTCAATTAAGATCATCTGGCTGACTAGCATTTGAATGAAATTTCAATAAAATTTAAATGAAAGATATTTATTCATACAGTGTAAGGTGTGATAAGGAATAAAAAGTATTTTATTGGAGGTGTGGCTTTAGCTTTTAAAAGGAAACTATAAGGATATATAAACTTAACAGGTTGATGTGAGAAATAGATGAAAAAGCATTGTTTAGTTAATATCACGTTTTATCTTTAAATGTATAATATTTTTGGCAAATCATTTTCGAATATATTTACTGGTCAATTACTTCAAGCATTAAAATGGTCTGTTCAGATCTAAATGTAAATAGAATTGCGAGGGCATTTAAAAATGAAAAGAATGAAATCAATCTGTACGAAATACTTCGAAATTATTTCAATATGCATGACTATTGCGTTTAATTAAAGTTTTATTTTTAAAAGTGACTTAATTTGCACTTAAGAAAAGCAATACATTGGTGCTAATTCAAAATGAACGAAAACAATTTACCAAATTAATCAAGCAGAACAAAGAAGCTGCCTTGGCAACTATAAAGATAACGTTAATTCCTAGTCCATTTAACTTAAGAAACATGTATTCATTTTTCTAAATAACAAGCAATTATAATGTTATATACAGGTCCTGAAAAGTCTATAATACATTTTCGACAACAACATGACTGAAACATCGATGAAATTAA